AATTTCCAATTTTTCTTGAAAGTGCGTGTAATTCTGAACATTTAAAGCACAAGTTTGGTTGCCTAGGATTTTTCGGTCGGCGCACACGATTTTTTGGAAATAGGCCTATTTTAAACTTTGATCGCGAATATCTCGGCGAAAAAAAATCGTAAAAATCTTCACAATAGCTCAAAAATTTTCTTTTTTTATCCTCTTTCTGAAAATGCCATAAAAAATGGGGGTTGCTATTTGAAAATTTTGAGTTGGGGTCCGCCCAGCAGCCCGGGGGCGCCGCCCCCAAATTTTGAGTATGCCCAAAAGGAGTTCCTATTGACCTAGGAACACTGTAAAAATTTTATTTCGCTAGGTGCAACCGTTCAAAAGTTACAGGGGGGGAGCTGAACTTTTTGAAGACCCTGTATTTGCTTACTGATTCTATTGTAAAACCTAGCGAGAAACAGGATGGTTCCAATGGCTTTCACTGAAATCAACTTTCAACCTAAGAATGTTTTCAAGCCAAGGCAAAAATGGAGTGTTCATCTTACTCTTTTCAAACAGTCCTTTGTCCACCACTCCATCAGGAAGAACTCTCCATGCAAACATAAGGACCAATAACATTAATACGCCTCCTACTCTATTTGGTGACTTAAAAATTGAAAACTCGGCAACACTGTCAATGTAATTCCTCTCTATTAAACATTATCATGAAGATCTTAGAGGTATGCCTTTTTTTTAAAGAGAGAAAAGTGAAAATATATCAGCCTATGAAAACAAGACTGACATATGCCGAACCAATTGATGACAAAAACATAGAAAATGTGAAGGTTTTAAAAATAAATGTAGTGTTTAATAATTATCAAAGATTTAGCTAACTGTATCGATATATTTCTGTTCTCAGTCCCCGCACAACAATACCCTTCAAGTCGTAAAAGTTTTACAAGAGCAGTTCAAAGGATTAAAAAAAGTTGAAGAGGCGAAAGACTCCTACTCTAAAGGTCAGATGCTTCTGATGACGTTCTGGGCCAAAATACACCGATGAGACCTCAGGTGTTAGTTGGTTCTTCGACGATTCTCCTCTTGGACTTAGCCTAAAAGTGTGGACACTTTTTAGCCTCCGGCGAAACCTAGAGTCTATACGGCTTCGCCGCACGACTAAAAAGGAAAAATCTATAAATCGGAGATTTCAGAAATCAATTCTCCAGATTAAAGTGAAGAGATTGGTGGATAATACATGACAATTTCTTCTCAAACACACCAACCTGGGATTTTTTCTTTTAATTTTTCATCTTAAAATATGACACTAGGTGTCATGAAAAAAGAAAAGTCCAGGTCGAGCTGTTCTGTGTGATGAAGAAAAAATTGATCTGTATTACCCATCAATCTCTTCAGAAAAATCTGGAGGAATGATTTCTGAAATCTCCGATGCATAAATTATTCCTTGTTTTCGAAATATTTTTGATGAAAAATGAGCCTTGTGTCATTCACATTAGGGTCTCAGGAAGTGAGCATCAGGCAGTTCAGCTAATCATAGACAAAAGACAACTCATAAAATTGGGAAGTACCACTTGGCCTGGAATTCAAATGCTCTTGGTTCCTCTTTGGAAAAAACCAACAAAAAAACTAGTTGATTCGCAGTTACTGATTACTCGACCTGGTGCAGCAAAACCAAGGCATGCAAACACTAAGATTATTCATTGCGCATCGGCGCAATGATAACATTTGTCTTGTTGCACTTCAGGATGTTAATTGATCATTTCAAGGAGAAGACGCGGAAAATGACGCTTTTTCAAAGGTGAAAATTTAGCCCCCTTGAAGTCAAAGGAATGGCATCCTGGTGATAATATTTAAGCAATTTTTTGTAGATGATACGTAATTTTCTTGTTAGAAAAGCCCTTTTTTTCGTACTTTTTAAAACAAAGGAAAAATGTCTTGACCTGAATCCATGAAGAATAAGAATAAAATAACAGCGATGGTGTGTGCAGTCAGGACGAAACAATATTGCAGCATCAATTTGATTCAAAATTCTTAAGGTTCTACTAGAACCAACTATGGAGGATTCTGCACCTCAGCTCTAGAAAAGTATTTGATAAATATTACGCTATTATTATTCTTCAGCCTGGACAGTATAACTCCGACAAGTTATAATGACAACTGAGTGTAAATTTTTGGGAATAAGTGAGATAAAAGGAGTTAGTAAATAAAAATAACAGGGGGGTTCAGAGGAGACTCCTCACAGAATTTTCAAAATTTGGACGCTCTGAAGCTCCGATTCTTCTATTTCAGGAGTCAAATTCGACGAATTGTGTGGAAAAAAACATCTGCTACTTTCTTGCGTATTTTTTCTCCTCAATTTTTTTATTCATTAGAGTGAATTCGGTTCCTGCAGAGGAAACCTGCTCCGAAGGGAGTAATCTCAACCTCAACGGAAAGAGGAGACCTGCTCCGGAGGGAGTAAACTCAACCTCAACAGAGAGAGAAGGTGAAGGAGCAACGACGATGACATCAATGATTATCAATTGCTGGGTACTGACTGATTCTGCACTGCAATCGAGGGCCACAGGATATGAGCTGCAACCGAGCAGCGAATTGTTCATTGTTAGACTGCGAGCGAACTTCAGTCCCCTCTCATTGAGTTGTGGCTCTCCCTTGAGCCCACAACAGGCGTAGTAGGTAACACACACACATGCTGTTCCGGAAAATAGTTTAATCACTTTACTTAAAACGATCCAGTTAGTTGAAAAGCACCAGGCTCAGTGCTCAGTTGTTTGGATGGAGAGAATTTTCTAGGGGGTTAAATTTTTGGGGAGAGTCAAAAAATAGAGGAGAACGGGGAATCAAATTAAGTTCCTGAATGTCTGACCTTAGCTTCGGTGCTTATTAAGGGAATTTTCGTGCACTGCCAGTTGTGATAGTGCGCCTTGAACATCGTCCCAGCTGAAGATTTCATTAACTTTGACGTTCTGCCATGGGCAAAGAAATTCACAGGGAGTGATCAATTTTCTAGCTTTTAACTTACCTATCTTAGGACCACTCCCACTTCCAGATCCTCAGCACGTTTCATTTATGAGATGTGATGCTTGAAATCAGTGATTTTCACCTCGGCTACAATTTCAAGATCTGATAACCTCATATCAAATAACTAATATAATATTTATGTTTCACTTTGTGAATTGCTTTTACCAATACCTTTGATTCTGTTTTTACCCAACATTTCGTTCTGGAGTCATTCCAAGTACCTTAAACGCTGTTTTTCCTGAAACGGCCACTTCGGATAGCCGCTACCGGTGTGGAAAGTTTATCAAAATACTTGAACAGTGCTTAGTAAAGCTTAGTAAGTGTGCAAGAAGGTGAGAAAAAATATGAAAGATTTTTGAGTAGGTCAAGTAACAAATTTTCAGAATGTTGGATGATTTTCGATGGAATGACCTAAAATAAAGTTGTATTCAGTAACAGAAATTAACTGTTCATAGTGACAAAATAATCCATAGTAGAAGCTTCCTGCAGAGAATGTCAATACACTGCACAGCAGACACCCAGACTTGTAAAAGAGAGAAGAGTATTTTTTTCATCCTCTAAATTGGGTTCTGTTTTAAACATGATCCTTTTCTGAAAATAACTGAAAAATAGGAAACACTTCACCTTTGGGTTAGCCTATTTCTTGAAGAAGAGAGCAGGGTTGCAATTTTTCATGTTAAATACAATGTAGAGGGTCTACACATCGAATGCCTAGAAATTCAGCATTGGCTAAATTTCTACATATTTTCACAAGATGTTCCTTGCGATTTTCTGAGTAAGATGTGCTTTTAAGAGTGAGCTTTCTATTTGCCAGTCTAAAGAAAATTGGGTCTGAAAAGAGCTTTCTCCAAAAATTTAACACTTGGTATCATGCAAAGAAGAAGCACTGTGGTCATGTCATGAATTTCATTTATGAAAGATATTAAGAAAAACTTTTCAAAATGAAATGCAAAAAATTACGATTTTGGCTTTTAGATGCTTGACACTCAGTGCTTGTTGCATACCCAGCCCCTGAAAATATGTTTCACAAATTACGCAACTTCGTCGAATTTCATGAAATATTTCGGGGAAATTTCCCATCAGCCATTATATCATTTCACTTCTGCAGCCTTGAGTAAAGTAAATGTCCCATCTGAATTTCAATTGGAGTGAGACCAAACATTTTGCTTAACTAATGAGCCCATATTTTGCTATTTTCACCAATCATTATAGGCTGTTCGGGGCTAATTTACAAAAAAAAAAAAGAAAAAAGATAGAGGTTCAGAAACTATGCGCAATACAACTTTTAGCCACACTCTGAGAGGCATCTGAGAAGGAAGGAACACTGCATGACCCACCCTTGGTAGCTGTCAATTGATCACCAATTTTCAGAGTGTCTACTTAAACAAGCGGCCAAAAAATCAGTATCTAACAGTACTTTTCCATTACATTCACAAGAAATTCAGTACCTCCTCAACAAAAAAATTCAAAATTTCTTTAAGAACCTCCATTGGAAGAAATTCGAAAAATTTCGAAAATTAGAAATCCTTGCTCAAATTATGGCAAAAATGATGTAGCCACAAAATTTTATTGGTGGCTTTAAGATTAAATGACTGCACAATCACAGTCCTGCAGACAAATACTTCTCTAAAAACCAACGCACAGGGAGTTGCATACTTTCCAGGCTTCAATAAAAAACAAGCTTGGTAGGAAGAAAAAATTCCTGACATTTTTGCGAAATTTCCGCACTTTTCCAGTACTTCCGGATGGCCCTGGAAAAATCGGTACCATTTCTAAACTTTCCAGAAATTTCGGACTAGTAGACAGCCTGATTTAAGATAATTTAAAAGCACGCAGCTCTTGGCATTGAAATAAATCCGTCAGAATAAATACGCCCAGTGAAAAGATTGACTGACTTGAAATAAATAAAAACGACCGATTAAAAACTATAACATTTAAAAACTATTAGAAGAAAAAAAAATATCGACTGCTAAAAACTAAACAACTGCTTAATGGTAAAAAAAGAACAATTAAAGGCAACAACTGATGTTGCAAAATACTTCAGTTCCCTAAAAATTACTTATCAAATTGGCTCAATATGACCCAGTAGGAGAGACAGGAGAAATTCTTCACCTGGTGTCTTATGGATTGTCAGAGGATAAAACTTTGAATACATTACAAACTTTTCACCGGTGTATCAAAGAATGCTGGAAATCAATATAATTGGTTGTTTCCAATTAGAAGATACTTCTTCAGTGATGTAGCCTTGTACCGGTTCATGATTCCTTTTTTTCAACCCCCTATTGGCAAGAAGAGACAGAAAAAAAAGTTAAGTTCTTTAACGTCGCTAGGTAAGAGAACAAAAAATGCTGGAAGCGAATATGAAAAATTTTACCGATATTTTCAATACTTCCTCCAACTAGTCCAAACAAAAAAGACCGAGTAAAAATAATAGAATAAGATTAATACTGCATGCTGCATTATTCTAATCAAGTCATTTTTGAAGAGACCGAAAATTCCTTGATATTTTTCTCTTTTTCCTGTGCTTTAAAAAAATCCTATAAATCTCCCTGGTGTGGAAATTTTCTGAGTCACTCAATGCACGTGATGAGGAATCTAGACAACGAACACACAATTTTCACTCCAATAATACATCCTGTCTGAGACAATAGGTGACGGCTTCAAGAAAAAGTTTCAGTGTCCATTGTAACAATGAAATCCTATTAATTTACATTCCATTATCTCTTTAGATCCCGATGAAAGACTAAAGTTCAGTCCTGGAGATGATAAAGAGAGCCCAGTTTCACAGTTTTCACCTGACTCCGCATTACCTGTTTCATTTCTTTGAATTTTCAGCAGAGCTAGTTATCATTCAGGGCACCAAAACTTTCGATTTTGAGCAGACATTACTGCGAAGCTTTTTTCCTCAATGGAGAATTTGCAAGGGTCTGAAATTTGATGAATTTCCTGTTTAAGTGGAATCCTCTGAGTGAACTGAACACGAAGATACCCTTGATTCATAAATTGAGCAATTATTAGAGGAGATATGACAAAATAACCGATTCCGCTAAAATACATGTGTTTAAATGGGAAATGCCGCCAGATGACGTCACAAGGCGGCACATTTTCTCACTTTTAAATCAATTTTTCTCCAATTTCCCATGTCAGAAAAAAATTATGAAAAATATTGCGAACTCAGCTCATTAGGCACTTCCAGATGAAGCAATAAAAAAATTGCGTGCAAATTCTCCATTTTTAGGATGGGTTTTTCTTGTAATTGAATCGTACACATAATTAATGGTTTTCTTGCTGAATACAATCCCCTCTTCTTTCCTAGTTTTCTTGCCACCCAAGAATCCAAGAATGACGGATCATGCGATTTGAGTCTCATATAAATCATTAGTATTGGTGAAGAAATGAACATTAAATGTTCCAATTTCTTCGGTATACTGGAGGTTAGAAGAGTATGAAGAAGCCCTGATTTTTTTAAACAACTCTCATTCTCTGACATCCTTCGCTAGCAAAGCAAACTTCACTTAGACTTACTGAATAATTACGATGATGCATCAAAACTAAATTTTGAGTAACCAACAAAATATGCATTAAACCTTCTGAACTGGCTCGAAAGCCTTGTTTCAGGAGTATGTTTAAGCCTGATGCAATGCAACATATGAGGACTTATATGTAACAATAGTGGTCGCTGACATCCGCCATTTTTAGGGCAAACGCTTTTTTCGAATTCTGGAACCCTCAAGAATGCCTGTGCATAGTTTCAGACTTCCAGGACAATTTTTCGCCGAGATATGAACTGAAAACCATGTTATTTCTAAAAACAGCGGATGTGAGAATCCACTGTTCTCCCCCGCCGGCGCGGCAGGACATGGTAGAGATTCGAATCCACTTGCGATAACTGCCCCCGCACCGACCATGGGCTATAGCTGCTATCGTTCACCAGCCTTAACCTTCCTGAAGACTTTGTTTCATGCATAAAAAAACGTTTTCAGTAAAAAAAGTGGCTGTCACATTTTTTTCAAATCGCTGATACTCCTTCAATTTTTCACTTACATAGATCGCAAAACGTGTGTTTCTTTACAGGAGGGGTTGCTCTTCATGAAAATCTTTATAAGAATCCTCTAGGTTCTACGGGCAGCAAAGTGCGAAGCTTCGAAAACCTCCAATGCGATTTTCTCACAATGTGAAAACTCGACAACCGCTATTGTTACAGATAAGTTCTCATATGCAGCATCAGTTCAAGTTTGAACCATCCCCTTTTTAAATGCTGATGAAAATTAACTTTTCATTTTAAAACTTAAAATTAATTATAGCACTCTTTTCTGCTTGATTATGTGTGCGAAGGAAAGAGATCCTTTGAAATTTCAAAACCACACAAGCCTGATTTTTGTGGGAAAAAAGAGGAAGATATACGAAAATGCGCAAGAACAGAAGTCTACATGCTCTTTTTCATAACATTTGTGGCTAATTACATGGATGCTGCTCTTCGAGTAAACCAGCTGATGTGTTTACAACCTTAATGAAGACAACTTACGATTAAAAATCATTTGCATACTAAGAAGTTCATACTTACATTAAGGGTTAGATGAGGTAGAGGTGGCATGTGCCTGTTATGAAAAACACAGTAGGAGTTCTCTAAAAATACGGAGATTGGTTCTCGGCAAGGTAAATCTGCGCACTGAGAATTGCAAACTCGGAAGAGAGCTTGGTTTTGATCCTATAAAGAGATAGAACAGTCAGATGAGGAGTTACTTTAAAAATAAGAAATTTTAGTGAGATTATATGCAATGCGAGGAGACAAGTATACTGCCATGCTAAGGAAAAATGCTGTATGAACATTCAATTTCATTACAAAGAAAATTCTCTGGAACATTGAACAAAAAATAATCACACATTTTCCTGAAAATTCTTGCTTCATCAATGGAAATTTGGAAATTTGACTGACATAGCGACGGTGCAAGTCGGCAATCACATAACTCGGTTTGCGACGTCGCAGACTTCCTGTCATACTTTATTTTTTAAATGGAAAACTACTCAACGGCAATTCTTTAAAACTGTCATGATTTTTCTTCTCAATGCGAAGAAAATTCTGCAAAAACTTCAAGAAATAATGTCAATTTGCTCTCCTTTAAAAAAATGACGTAGAGGCGGAGATTTTCAGACACCGGAAACGAGTTATGTGATTGCCGACTTTCACCGTCGATAGGTCCTTACATCATTTTTCCTCAGCATGGTAGAATACTGGTCAGAGCCATTCTAAAGCAACTGTGCAGAGGTGAGTGAACTGACACAGTTGATTGTTTTGGTTGTCTTCATAAAAGTGCCACTGGGCACGGCAGGCAAAAAAGTAAAAAAAGTAGTACATAAATGGATTAAAATCAGATGCTGACAGAATTGAAGGAGAGGAAAAAAAAAGCCTGATTAAAAAGCACACTAATTTCTGCAGCCCAATGAAACTAACGACGGTCACAGAGGGCTACTGGAAAATTCATATTCTGGTCCTGATTCTTTCATAACGGGCAGAAGTGAAGGGGATTCCAGAAGATGGATTTGAATTCATCTTTAGCATCCAGGGTGTCTACTAGGACAAGCCAAAAATCAGCATTCCTTCAGTGCTTTTCCAAAAAATTCAGTATTTCCTCAAAGGAAAAATTAAGTTCTTTTATAATACCTTTACATTCCAAATTGAAAAAACTTCAAGGATTCGAATTTCACATGCCACCCCTAACAAAAATGACGTAGCCACAAAATTCGAAGCTCATTCAAGGCCGAAACAATTGGCCCAAGCAATTGCATACTTTACAGACTGTCTAAAAGAAACATGCAAGGCATAAAGTGAAAAATTCCGGATATTCTCATGGAATTTGTGTACTTTTTCAGTGCTTTTGGAGAGCCCTCAAAAAAATCAGTACTATTCTGCTGTGCTGAGGAAGAATGCCGTAAGTATGAACATTTGAGAGTTGCCAAATTTCTTTCAATAAAATGTTTATTTTTGTACTAGGTTATAAATATCTTTCCTCGAAATTCTCAGGAACTTCAAGTAAAATTGCAAACAAAATTATCTGAAAACTTAGAAGGAGAATATTCATAAGCTGACCCGGAAATTCGAGTTTAATCAAAGGAAATTTGGCGACGCCTGAAGGTTCATAAGGCGTTTTTCCTTAGCACGGCAGTATTAGTGGACTTTCAAGTGTAGGATAAAAACCCTCTAAAACCACTGAATACGACAAATGTGAAACTTTCGGTGCTTGGGTGTTCCAGATTGATCACGGCTGGATCAGTGGATAGATTCAGTAGTAGATTCAATAGAGCTTTAGGAAAACTAATTAGACAGAGATGGGCGTACTTCCACATGCACTGTGTAACTTTGCATCAAAATAATTCACAATACTATGACTACATTTAGCAATTAGGAACTAAAATTTTTCACTCATCTGTAAAAGCTTTTATGTACTTGGGAAAACTGATGGTGCATTCATTGTTTTTAAACTGAGCCAGATATTTTAGTTCTTAATTGAAAAATGTAGTCCAATTGGTCTGCTAACCAGCTTTCAAAAGAATGCCTTGTTGATCCTGAAGAGGAGGGCTCTTTTACCATGAAAAAATCTGAACGTGCAATACTTCGTAAAAAAATAAGTGCTTCTTCGGTTCATTAGAGTCAACCAATAAAAATAGATACTTCATGAAAATGAGATTCAAGTTATGTTGACGCGTACAGTTTCTTAATCATCAAACATCATACACTTGCTGAGATCTGTCAAAAAAACCTTTAACTAGTGATAACAAAACAAAACCAAAAAAGAAAATTTGAAAGGTTTGAAAAATTGCCATCCATCCATACTTCCATGATTGAGATCTTCAATAAAGAAATAAGAATTATTCACTGAAAAAGAGCTTGCCTTAGTGAAGGCCTGGCAGATAAGCTACATGAGGACACAGCAGTAGAAAACTTACCTCCAAAATATGCTTCAAACAATACTTAGAGAGGGGTAATACTTTTGCTCCACACCTGACATCCTCTTCTGTGTAAATACATTTGTTCCCTGAGCACCCTTTGCGTCCATTCACAGTCTGTAAAATATATAAAAAGAAAGACAATAAAATAAAGTGAAAGTTAAGGGATGGATTCTTTGGACAGAGCAAGTTAACTGGAGTACATGTGTATGTGTTCGAAATTCAGGGCAATACCTATCATTATTTAAAGTTAATTTCTGATCTACTTTTAAAACTACTTTTCTTCATTACCCAGAACAGGTAAACAACAGAAGAACAGCAAAGATGATTTTCGAAGAAAGCAGCAAAAAATCCAGTAACAACACTCGTGATGCATCCTCTACAATTCACCAGATTTAAATCTCTTTGACAGCTTAAGTATTAACAACAAAACTAATTTTATGCGAGCTCGATTTACAACAACAAAAAGTGTTTCAGGTAATTTTTACAGCAATGAACCAGCACAGGTAAAAGATGAGGCACCACGGTGTGTGACTTGTCATTAAAATTGCACAAAGAATCCTGATGACAAATTACAAAAATAGGAATTCAACTCTTTTATAAAAAATTATCTTCTTGAATGCTAGTCAAATTAAACTTGCTGTCAACCAAAAACCAGGGTCTGCCAAGTTAAATCCGTCACTAAAAGCATTGCAGTGTACTTTCCAATGGACATACCTGTAAGGCATGCTTTTTTCTTTCATAATTTTTGAAATATCACAGGATGCAAAAGATTTGTGTGAACTTAATATAGAATATGTAAATTAAATTAAAGTCTCAGTTCATTTTTAAGGGCTAAATTCTCATGGCTTCACTCTGGTTTTCATGCAAGCGAGAAATTTAGAGTCATTCAATCTAATCTGAACTACGAACAATGATTTCTAACTCGCAAATCAAGTTAATCAATTCCTTAAGTTTCATGTATTTTGCAAGAAAATACAATGATGAAACATATAACGCAGTGCTTTAAATCCCATTCTATATGATGATCCATCGTCTCTTGATTAAATAAATTTACAGATTTTAACCTAACCTAATTAGCAGGCTCTGATTTCCTCCACTGCCTCAACATTGAGTTGGCCTCATTGTGTTCATTTACATTATCTCTTGAGCTTTCTTTAAAAATCAAAAGAAAACTCACAAGAGGACATTAGGTATCAATGCCACTTGGCGAAAACAGAATGAAACTTCACAACATACCTTTGAACGTTTTTCTAAAGATTTTTTACGCAGTACAGCTTCCACTCCGTTGCGCTTGTGATAACTATTCAAGGCTTTCAATTTTTGGTACAATTTCTCCTCAGCAGGAGACTTCCGGATCTGAGAGTGAATGCTTCCTAAAAAAAAAAAAAAAAAAAGTCACACTGAAATATAAATCATATTAATGGCTTAAATGCAGGAGATCCTAGCATCACAGCAAAGCTGCATGTAAATTTCAGTCATGAACTGTTTCCTGGATTTCTATTTTTTTTTCTTTTTTTTTTTTTCTTCAATTTCCAGACTTTCCATGACAATCTTTGCTTTATCTCCAATCCTTAATTTTCAAATTATTTTTAGATCCCTGCCTTTTAACTTAACTTTTTTAAAATTTTTTTCCTCTCTCAATAAGATTACATTTTGTGCAATGAGGAAAAAATACCTTGTGCTCATCCTAAGAAGTAGGATAATAGGATAGACAAATAATGTTTCTGAAATGTGTCAAAAATAGTAGTTCCTAATTGCAAAACGTAGTCGAGTTGGAATGACTTTGGCTCAACTTTGGAAGAACTTTCCACTTCTACAGTTTCAAATTAAAGAAAATGTTACTCAGAAGTTGTGTATGTTCTCTCTGAGGACCCCTACTAATGCTGAAACAGCGGCAGTCTTCGCAAGATTTTCTGACTTAGCCTTCGAGTTCCATGACTTAACCAGGGTGCCATAAACTTTTCAGGCTTTCCAGACTGCTAATAACCATGATTTACTTTCTCATGACTCTCCAAGGCTCCAAAATCTGCATCAACTGTCCAAAATTAAAGTGGAACACTTGCTTTATTGAATTGGTCCTGATTATTTTTCTATGATTTTTAGGTTAACAGACAGCTACAATTATTTTAAAGCTCGCTGCTTCAACTTCAGGTCTTAAATGAAAAGCGATTGCTGTTGCACATTAGTCAATATTAAAATAAAGCTATCTTGCAGGAGGAACCTGCTAGAACTTTGTCACACCTCTTTGGGAGGGTTAAGTTTCCACAGGTGTAATTTGAGTGTATAACTGGTCACAATAAGCTCCTTAGAGTTTTCGTATTTTGGGTTTTGTACCCAATGTTTAAAATGATCTAAAATAAAGCAAGAATATGAACGCTAAAAGCATATTGACTGTTGAGGTAGAGTTGGACTCTCGTTCAGGCATGCATATCTTCGTGCATACAAAAGCTTTAATCAGAGGGAGGAAACACAAGTGTGTCATTTTGCTCGATACCTGTGTGTAGTAAAATAGGAATTAACTTACAGCTTCGAAAACCTTTTTTTTCTCTTTTTTTTTTCTTTCTTTCCAAGAAATTTTTTATCGCAAGCAAATAATAATTAATTTACCATGTTTATTACTACACATAATTCTTCTGCAGTAGAGCTTGATTTAAAGATTTTGTGAGGTGGACGACTGGGACATCACACTCAAGTTGCAGACCCTTGGATTCTCATAAAACTACACTTCTTGAAAACCTAGAGAGTTAAATTATTTTTTAAACTATTTTCCAGACTCACCATATATTTCTTTTTCTTTTTTCAATGACTGTAAATAAGAGTGCCTTTTCCTCTGGAGTATGTACTGCAATCTTTTAACTTGATCTATAAATAATGTTTTAAGTCTATCCATCTTATTTCTAGCTAGGGCTACCATTTCTTCTTCCGTGTAGACCTCTGCATGCCTATGAAATGAAAAAAAATAACATCAAGAAGACACAAAAAAAAAATGGGAGGAAGCAATTAAGAGAAGTGAGAAAACTTCAGCCTCAGTAAAAATTAAATCTTTCTGAAACATCTAGAATACCCTATTCTACTGCCACTTTTATCAAAATGCAAGCAATGTAAAGTTTTTCATTTCGGTGAGAAATTGTCTGATAATTTTCACTCACTAGGGGGAGAATCACTTTCAGCAGTGGTTTCAAGTGCTTACGTTCAAAAAGGTTTTAAGAGCTTACCAGTGTGCATAATTGCTGCAATACACTTGGCAGAAACTTCACGAGGAGCACTATATTGACTTCAATATACAAAAACTAGTCCTACTAGACAACCAGAAACACGTTGAAAAGCGCTTTCTGCGAGAGAGCAAAATTCCAATTCGACAGGGCATGAATAATATATATGACCATTAAGGCTGTAAATAAATGATAAAGATTGGGTGAAAAATAAAAAAAATAAATAATAATTTTCTCCTTCTATTCAAGTAATTTTAAAATTTCATCCAAACAAAACCGTCAAGATGATTACGATCATATCATCTTCTTTGAGTATTAAAAAAACTATGGCAAACTCTCTAGCATGTACTGAACTAAAGAATTTAGAGGTCATTGATGGGGCTGTGCAAATATTCACTTCAGCTGACTCGGGCACAATTCCACATTTGCGAATAGCCGCGCCATAATGAATTTTCCAACTGAAATTTTCGAATCTTCGCGCCATCACGAATAACAAATTTTCAAATGTTTGCTAGCATCCAGGGATCTCCACACACATTCGTCACTGCCTACGCTCCTATCATAGCATTTGATTGTTTAGGGTGCAGGTGTATGAGCAAATGGAAAATATTGTTTGAAGTTTTGTAATATTTGCAAATGTACGCACTCAAAAGTTATTTTAGATTAGGCGTATTACTTTTTGTAGTTGTGAATAATTGACTTAAATTATTCACTATTTGGTTTGTATACACAAATAATTGGCAAAATTATTCACTATTTGCTTTGATCGGAAACTTCACTATGCACACAGCCGTTGTCATTCATCATTAAGTGCAATTTACAGGTAAGTAGCTCCTCACTAACTGATGGCTAACTAAGCCAAATATCAATTCAGAATGTTGCAACTTACTATTATATTTCATTTTTCAATTGGGAAAGTAGATCCACAAAACTTCTGTAAACACTTAATGTAAATTTTTTCCAATGAAATGTCCAGTAGTATGTTCTGTAAGAATGGACCAGTAGACAAGGTATGAATTGCAGCATTCTGATACATATCTTTGAACCAAAATTTCACGTAAAACACGATGCCCACAACGAAAATTCAAACCAACTCCTTACGAAGATGATTAATGATTCTTGATGCGTACATTTAAACTACCTGCTCATGAAAACTCAATGCTCTACGCGATTCATATCGCGCACTAAACGTGATCATGACAGTCTCTGCGATATAAAAATCTGGCAACCTCAATCTTGATGCTTTGGCTTCGCTATAGCAAATTGCTTTTAGTTTGAACGACACACGGTGAGAAATGAACATTGCTCGTTTGAGAAGCTTGCTGAAACCGTTGTAGTGCTCGATTTGACTCGAGTAGGGCTTTGAGTGGGCGGGCAGATCAAATTTTTGTAACCAATGTGAAATAAAAGCGTTTACATCTTCGTAAGGAGTTGATTTCAGTAATTTTCGTTGCGCGAATCAAGCTCTACATGAAATTCTGATTAAGAAACTAGTTTGGATTGCTTAAATTCGTACCTTGGCTAGTGGTCCATTGCAAGCTTGGAACTCCTGGAAGTAATTTAAACAGGGGTGGAAATTAGAAGACCCCGTAGTTCTACCGTGCTATGGAAAAACGTCATATGAACATTCGAATGTTGCCAAGGTGCCGCTCGGGGAATTTTTTTTTTAAAGAAAGTTGAGAGTATTTTTCTCTGAACTTTTCAGACATTTTGAATCTAATTACGAACAAAATTCTCTAAAAAATTGGAAGAAAAATATTTAAAAATTTCCCCAAAAATTTGTGATTTATCAAAGGAAATTTGGGAATGCTTAAAGGCTCATGAGGCGTTCTTCTTTGGCACGGCAGAATTGAGGAGGGTTTCAAAAGAAGGACCGACAGTCAAGGTATACTTGTTTCCCTGCGCAGTTGCAATTTGGGCAGGAAGTAGCAGACTTGAAATTATAGCTTCTTTCTCGTTTGCCTAGTCTATGTCATCTTACGAACTAGACAATACATATAAGACCTCAAAACTGAACACACTCCTTAAGGAGACCTCAAAAGTATACAACAGGAACAGTTGTTCTTATTATCTTTAAATTAATGTGAGAAGAAAGTAGACCTAAGCAAGGACGTATGGGAAGGCAAAAAATTTCCTCCAGAAAAACTTAAGCGATGGTTTGAAAAACTTTCATGGTTCATCACCACAGCATTACTTTTCATCAGCAAGGTTTGAAACTTCCGCTTTCATAGACGTAAAAGATAATGAGGGGAAAAATAAATTCTCTGGCTCAAAGACTATTCAACGTCAAGATTACCTATCTCTAATGAATAGNTTCAAAAATTTTACGAATTTTTTTAGGGGCTAAAATATTATCCGATGATAATGAATTTTTTTCTACACAAACTAAGCTAATTGATGTAGATTCTGACAAATTTTGGTTCAATTCTATCGAAAATTACGAAAGTTATGAGGAAATGACGTTAGCATAGTCAAAAATAGCCCAAAAAAGCGGTTTTTGGGGGTCTGTGGGGGGGCGGAGGGGGTTGGGGGGCTGAAACCCCCCAAAACCTAAGTTTTGGGACCCCCTTGATGACTTAAAATGGTTAAAATAAAAATCCATTCACAAGGGCATTTTGACATGCTTATCCCGGGATACCCTTTGTACTTTGTCTAGTGGTCCATTGCAAGCTTGGAACTCCTGGAAGTAATTTAAACAGGGGTGGAAATTAGAAGACCCCGTAGTTCTACCGTGCTATGAAAAAACGTCATGTGAACATTCGAATGTTGCCAAGGTGCCTCTCCGAGAATTTTTTTTTTTTTGAAGAAAGTTGAGAATATTTTTCTCTGAACTTTTCAGACATTTTGAATCTAATTACGAACAAAATTCTCTAAAAAATTGGAAGAAAATATTTAAAAATTTCCCCAAAAATTTGTGATTTATCAAAGGAAATTTGGGAATGCTTTAAGGCTCATTAGGCGTTCTTCCTTGGCACGGCAGAATTGAGGAGGGTTTCAAAAGAAGGACCGACAGTCAAGGTATACTTGTTTCCCTGCGCAGTTGCAATTTGGGCAGGCAGTAACAGACTTGAAATTATAGCTTCTTTCTCATTCGCCTAGTCTTTGTCATCTTACGAACTAGACAATACATATAAGACCTCAAAACTGAACACACTCCTTAAGGAGACCTCAAAAGTATACAACAGAAACAGTTGTTCTCATTATCTTTAAATTAATGTGAGAAGAAAGTAGACCTAAGCAAGGGTGTATGGGAAGGCAAAAAATTTCCTCCAAAAAAACTTAAGCAATGGTTTGAAAAACTTTCATGGTTCATCACCACAGCATTACTTTTCATCAGCAAGGTTTGAAACTTCCGCTTTCATAGACATAGAAGATAATGAGGGGAAAAATAAATTCTCCGGCTCAAAGACTATTCAACGTCAAGATTACCTATCTCTGATGAATAGGTAGTCGCGATAGAGCAATAGTCTCTTTACGGCAAACTTGAGAATAACCAGAGAATGATCAATTTTAGAGGATAGGAGGATTAAAAATTTGGTCAAAGGACGCTGAGAGCTACCAACCTTAACGGGTCATCATCTTCAAACCCATCAAAATATTCATCACTAGAGGAGTCCATAACGTTTTGATCTAAAGTTGAGAAATCTAAAATGGCTTCTTCAATATCTGTATCTGAGTCACTATCGTAGTGCAAACTACTTTGCTGAACACTCACAGGAGTAGCATCAACGTCAACTAAGATAAGGGTAAGAAGGAAAATATAATTAAAAAGAGAACATCATTTTAGAAATACTGCAGACATAATTGCATGAAAAATTTGGTATGAGCAATTAAAAGAGCGTATACATGAAATTAAGGGCCACATTTGAGCAAATTGATGGGTTAATACTGATTCCCAATCAGTGGAGAACGGAGGTTCATGAGCTGGATCAACTGAACTGCACGGAAAAAAATAAATTGCTGATTCAACAATTCAATTGCTAAAAACAGTGAGTGCAATGTTTCAACATAGATTTTACAACAAAAAAATGCTTCTCTAACCACACTGTAAACTAATTTAACCACGGGGGTGGTTAAAGTAGCATTTTTTTGTTGTAAAATCTACATTGAAACATTGCACTAACGGTTTTTAGCAATTGAATTGTTGAATCAGCAATTTAATTTTTTTCCGTGTGGTTGTGGCTGACTGATGGGTGTCATTGGATTTTTCAAAACGAGCATCATTGGTAACTGACTAGAGATAAGTTAAAAATAAGTAAGATTGAAAAGTTGAAATCCATAAATTATTAGATTTTAAATAAAGAAAATGTTTAAATACCTAACTATTGGAAAAAATTTGATTTGATCAAAGATCCCACTCAAATGTGAACCTTGGTGCTCAAATAAGAAGGGTGGAATGTAAAAAACAAGTCTAAATTTAAGCCGCCCTTCATAGATCATGAATGCAAGGAGAAAACAGGCATTGTAAAAAGTTTTATGCAGTGTCTTATGCCAGATCTGCCCCTTCAAGCAGAAATGCCTTAAAATCGATATCGCCCTCACTCTAGGATCTCTGGATCACTTCTATTCACAGAAACTTGTAAAAAATGTTTATCAGTGGATACCTATGAGTATGAGGTCTCAGCGAAGTCAGTTATGGAAGAAGTCTTCAATTAGTCAATTTTCAGCTTGATTTTTCAAAATTGAAAAGATGTCATTATTTTTCAGTCTGATTCTTCAAAATCACAAAGATGTCATTAGATACCTTCTTATGCTGGCATGTACTGGACCACAAGGATTGAAGGAGAGAAGACAAATACATTTACTGAATAACAAAAGGCTTGATGAGTGTATATCTCTGCACAAGAGCGCACTATCATGCTCGCTCATTTTTTTTTTTTTTTATAAGAAGTGCATCTCAGTCACTGGAGCTTTTAGGTCTTGGGCATTATCACTTATTGATGAGACCAGGAGAGCAGGCATTATGTACTCGGATGCAACAGTTGAAATCCAGTCAACACTTCATCTGAACAAGACTTTTTGGATTTTGGCTACTCATGATGCGAAAACCAAAGTTGAGCTATTAGCCGACTTTACAAATATAATATGCAATAAATGCAACTCAGGCCATGCTTTAATAAAAAAATAACTAATAAATATAATAACAATCTCTTGCACATTGTTTTTTTATTAAAGCATGGCCTGGGTTGCAATTATTGCATATTATATTTGTAAAGTCGGCTAATAGCTCAACTTTTGTTTTCGCTTCATCTAAACTTGAGCAGGACTTGCACTAGAAATGCTCAAAAATTTACTGTAAGTGACAGATTGAAGTCAGCTAATTTTGCTCCTTCGATAAGGATACTTACTGAACTGACTTATAATTTTCTTTTTACTGCAGTCTTCTTCATCGGAGAAAAATTTGAGGCATTCATCTTCATCTGCTGATTCAGTTTCTGAACCGTGGGAGCTGTCTACAGATACAGGGTTAGAATAAGGTGCAAAATTTATTATCTCCACTTCAGAGCTGAGAGAGGGCTCCTTATCTTGGAATGGCTTCATTGCTAAAGGACTAAGGATGGGACTGGAGCACCTGTAACACAAGAAGAGTATTTGAGGAAAATTTTTCACATGTACAGGAAAAAATGAATGGAAACAAAAATAAACCAGCAGCAGTGAAACCATACTCATCCGGCATTTATTCATTCAATTTTAAAATCATCTTAAAAAATTCCTCACTAAAGTTCGGGACATTTTTTTCTACCTGACCACACGAAGTGGGCCATTTGGTTTACGGACAGTAGGTCTAGAAGAAAAAGGGCTACAAAAAAAAGGGCTACCTTCTTTGGTCTACAGTCAAAATGTCTACATGAAAATGCCTATTAAAATAGTGTCTATAGTAAAATATGTCTGCGGTATTAACATGTCTTCGGTTTGATTGCCTACTCCAGAAACGTCAAAGTACGTATTTATGTCGTCTGATAAGAATCTCATTTGAAAGTGTATCCCCAAAGACAGGACGAGACTGTGGATGCTGCAGAAGCTGATGCGTAAAAATTGTGAGTCACACTTCGCGAATAATTCACCATATAAATATCAACATGTATATTTTATAAATATTTTATTTAATTTTAAATTTTATAAATATATTTTATATATTTTTAGTGGCCAACATAAATATTTTGACATTTTCTAAGTGGGCAAACAAACCGCAGACATTTTAATAGCGTAGACATATTTGACTGTAGACATAATTTAAGTAGGCATTTTAATGTGGACGTTTTGACTGTAGACTAAAAAAGGTAGCCCTTTATTTTGTAGCCCTTTTTTCTGTAGACGTACTGTCTGCATACCGGCCATTTAACGCTTCCCCACGTTAGTAATAATTGCTTGTATGTAAATAATGGATGTGTAATAAGTTCACAAAAAGAGTTTGCAAGATACTTTAGACGATGCAACATATGCAGGGGCAGGCGGGTTCGCCAAGGAGAACTCCAAAAGGCCTATCGATATTTAGGGTGATTTGAGACCAGTTGGTCTCCGTAACATAGCAAACAAGCAACTAAGATAAGTCCACTTAAGTATTAATTGACCAATATTACCAGTCACTTTGCGGTCTTAGTCCGCCCATGAATAATTATGTTATCCAACTCCTTGCCCTCACTAGTGGTTGGATAAAGGAGGTTCCAAAGGAAGGGGTGGAATGATCCAATGCTCGTAAAATGGTATACAAACGATGTACACTAGATACACTGGCTACGTGATACCCCTAATCGCTGCCTCGAAGAGACGACAATCGCGTTGCGGAGATCTAGAGTATATATCTCGTAACGTCCGACCGAGCTATGACGTCGGAGACGAAATTGCGTGATGATCGGCGCTACAAGAAGCATGCTCTAGATGTCAACATGCTTGTCTGAGCTAGCACTTGCAAAAGTGATGGCTTTTGGATCGAAGGCGCTGAGAGCATCAGGGAATGCGGACATAGAACCGTAGGCGATATGGCATCATTCTACGACAATATCTTAAAGGCTATGCACAAACATGAATAGATGTAGAGAATGTTTTAATGGGGTTGATGTGCAATTAAGATTAGTAGAGAAGTTCATCACAGAGAATGATCACATAGGTTAGTTAAGTAATTGCTACAGTGGATTGGTTATCATCACTAGAGGTGTTGTCAGATGAGTTGACATTTGCTTGCTTTCGGTTTGCACGCGTTTGAACGTCACCACTATCAGTACATCAGACTCTCACAGACGCAAGGTATCAAACCAACTTCAGCTTGGACAGGTCTTTAAATACTTTCAGACCTTGTAACACTTTATTTTTTAGCCACACAGAAACCACATCCACATAAAGGTTGCTGATCATAACTGATAAGTGAGTCATTTACAATACTATCAAGAGACTGATGTTTTCAAGGTCAAGGTGGATTATGGCAAATGACACAATGTGCAGAGGCGTACATTCATCGTTGGCGCTGAAGACAATTGTCAGCGCCTGCAAGTCGAAAGTAAAAAAATGTCCATTTATCTGATGACACTTTAATTAGACTCTACCACAAATACGTTTCTGCTCTTATAGACTGTGACATAACATCTTGCAATACCTGCTTAACATTGCAAGTAGATGCTGAGATCGTAATGGCAGGTCTCCACTTGCAGTCTGGAGGTGTACAAGCTCATTTGGCGCTGACTCTTATCACACTTCAGAGGAGGCAGGACAACTGCGATCGCCCTGACAAAGGTGGATTTTGAAATTGAAAATGTTTATGGTCTGATGAGCTTGAAGGTCCATTGGGATGCTTGTACTGCAGACAACCGGAAATGTAGATGTTCGGTTTTTGCATGGACCGATAAATTTACAATGAAAAACGAAGAGGCAAAGCTAATTTCCCATGAAAACTCCCGAGTGAAAAGTAGCACAGAATCCATTCAAAACAAAGGTTAAGTTGGGAGATCTTTTTTCCATTCGGTATTTAGCTGAACTGGAAGGTATGATATGAAATCTGTCCTCTTAGCTCTCTGTATGCCACCCTGGAACAATCCAGGCAGCGAATGATTGTTTCAGCTGGTGTAATTAGTGCTTAATTTTAAATTTGTATTCATTAAAATGGCAAGTAGTAAACTGTTATGTGTAAAGTGAGAGTAGGCGGTGTAGCTTTCACGCTAGATCTTAGGGTATGATTAATAGCGGATAATGGAAAGCAATTTGCAGCAATGCACACCACCCACCTAGAAACACTCTGCAGAAGCTCGCACATTCTCAATCCTTGCCCTCTATATGTCTGCTTTCAAAAGTTGCTAAAGAGTACACAAACTTTCGTTGAGAAGTAATTGTACTTCAGCCCCCATCTGAAATCCGCTAGCTTGGCCCTCACTTAGTACGTGCGTTGCAGATCTACACTGGGATGTTAAGAGTACANTCAAAAATGCCAATTCCCTGAGCTGAGCAGTTTAATTTTTCTCCGCGAGTGAAATTTGTGCTTGGCGCCATTAGGAGCAAAGAGTAGGGGAGAGGAGAGAGCAACAGAGCAGAATCATGGAGTCCGAGCGAGCTGCACGCACGCTCCACCAGCTACTCCCGCTCTGTGATCGCCTGCACATCGTAGGGGGTCTTTGCCTGCAAAAACGCTCAATCCTATTTGTCTGCTTCCGAAAGTTGCTGAAGAGTACACAAACTTTCGTTGGGTAGTAAATGTACTTCAGCCCCATCTGAAATTCGCCAGCTCGGACCTCACTTAGTACGTGCATTGCAGATCTATACTGGGATTTTAAGAGTACAGATAGTCGAGTACATGGAATAATAAGTCCTGCAGGAATTCTTCTCATTCAAGTTCCAGAGACAGTTCTGAAAATGAGGTGTCGAATGATTACCCGAAGTTCTTTGTCAAGTGACCTTGAACTAATAACAACCTGACAGGTTCCTCCAGAAACTCAAGGGAGGAGGGAAATGAATATGGATATGGAGACTGAGAAGAATAACCGTAAGGAATGAATGACAGATGGATAAAAGGATGATAACATTCAGTTCACAGATAATATTTGTTTTCCGATAACACGTGAAGCAAACTTACCGGAGGACGCCGTGGATTCAAACAACGCCAATTTTATCTTGACCGACAACGAAAGTATGGCAAAGAATTCATCGCAAAGTAATTGAAGGCCTCCAGCATGACTCAGGGAAGATTTGTCGGTTTCTTCAGAACAATTTCTGAGAATCAGGAGTTGATCAAGCGTGCGGATCCATGCTTTGAGACGAACGATTGCGAACTCGATACTCGTATGTGCAGGCAAGATGGCCGCGACGCGCGCATTATTCTTCTCTCTATCAGGCAGAATGGTTACGAAAATGCCGAAAGTTACAAAAGTTACGAATGATTGTGGTATTAATGATCAGCTAAAAATGGTGAAGTTTTGTGCTGGTTTAAAGAAAAAAAATGAGGAAATGAACATTGCTCGATTGAGAAGCTTGCTGAAACCGTTGTAGTGCGCGATTTGACTCACGTGGTCACGTAGAGCTTTGAGTTTCTTGTGAGCGGGCAGTTCAAATTCCTCGTCGCTGGAATAAGTTACTCATTTGCATTGCAAACAGAGCTCGCTGCATGTGCAAATGGAGATTGGCGCGAAAATTTAAAGTGTCAGTCTGATGTGAGATCCTATTTCTAAAACAAAATTGCCAGAAACTTTTAATAAAACATCAGAAGTTTTAGTGTTTTTAAATTTATTTCCCACCATGTTTTTTTCAAACTATAAGTAGATAATTTGCTACAGCTGAGCCAAAGCGTCAATATTGAGGTTGCCAGATTTTTGTTATCGCAGAGACGTTCGTGATAACGTTTAGCGCGCGATGTGAATCACGTAGAGCATTGAGTTTTTATGGGCAGGTGGTTTCAATTCACGCACCAAGAATCATAAAATATCTTCGGAAGGAGTTGATTTCGGTAATTTTCGTTGTGCCCGTCGTGTTTTATGTGAAATTTTGGTGAAGAAACATCTATCAGAATGCTGAAATTCGTACCTTATCTAGTGGTCCATTTTTAGCTCCATATGTCGAATACTTTTTGAGAAAAAAATTATTGAAGTTTGATCGCCTTTCGTAAATATGCACTCTCCAGATTTCAAAAACGGCAGTACTTTGCCTTCAAAGAAGCCCCATCATTTCTTTTTTTTTTAGGCTGAAATTTGGCGCACTGGTCCGCATGGTAGCATGTCTTCGAAGGGAAAAATTCCCACTTGAACCTAACACACCCTGGAGCACAAAACGAGTTGAATATAGGTACCCTTTTTTTGCCCTGATTTTTGGCTGTAGTACCTTGATCCCTTAAAATGAGCATGACCATGTTGGTAGATTTCTGTAGATTTTAGATTTTAGAAACCTCTTGTTGGTTCAACTTGCAGATGAAGCAAAACTTTAAATGCGTTTTTAAGGAAAAATGTGCCCTCCATTTTCCGAAGTCCAAATGAGGGGCTTGAGGGAAAAGGCGCATAATTGCAGTTTTTGCTACTTCGAGAAACTTTGAAGTTTCAAAACTACATGGATCTTTATGGAAAGAAAGTTCAATCTGGCTTCTAGATGCTTAAAAATTGGAATTTGGGAGCGAATTTTTCCCAGCATATGCGTTAGGACTAGCATTACTTGAAATCATTAATAACTCAATTTTTTCAAAAAATGCTTTATCCTCCAAGCCCCTCAAATGCCATTTTCAGATTACATGAAATAATTTGGAATGGAAAAATTTAACATCAACTCCGGTTGAAATTTAGTTAATATTTAGCGAGCATAATATTTCATCGGAGGACCAGAGCGGTAAAGGGGCAATTAAATTGTAGAACAATAAGCATTACGACACAGCCCGTGGCCCTTTGCGTCTTCTGGCCGTACTAGTTCGCCTTCAAAATCGTAATTAGGCAATTTCTATGGCTTGAGAGCCGTATCCATTGCTTGCGGCAGTTTCGCTGTGTTCACTGTTCAGTAATTAGTTTTGCGATGACTTTACATCCTAAGCTGCTCTCTATAATTATTTTGCATTGTGGGATGTTTTTGAACCTCTAGGTCTCTAAGAATTCTATGAGTAGCTAAGCCAAATGAGACTAAAGAGGTGTTAATCATTTTACATTCTTGTTCCTTTAATGACTCACAAATAAGCGATCAGAAATAATTAGTGTGGGTAACTCTATCCTAGATAAACAATTGTCGTCAAAGGCTCGTGTCAGCCGCACCGTCGCCCAGTTGAACTGCATTTTGCAATTTGGAACTATAAAATCTGGCCCGGTTTAAAAACAATGTATGTGCCATTAGTTTCCCTATACACATAAGTGTTTTTTCAGATGAGCCAGACTTTCTAGTTCCAAATTGCAAAATGCAGTCCAGTTGATCGAGTCAATAGAAAAGGTCGGACAAAATTTGGGATTTTCAATGTTTAAAACTCCGATTATGCAAAACTGCATGTGTGGCTCTAAAAGCGGTTCCATTGGGTTTCTCATGAAATTTTCCTCTTAAAGCACCTCTTTAAATTTAAAATGTGACGAAATAAACGTCAAAATTTGCAGTTCTAATAAAAAATTTCATGTCCAATTTCTCTGTTTGACTCGATCCATTGTGCGTCGAATGACGAATAGCAATGAAAAATAATAAGGATACCGAAAAAATCAACAATATGTCAAATTTTAAAATGTACATTATTTACTTTCGAAAAAATTTACAATTCATATTTACAAATTACAATTGACTTAAAACAGTCTTAAAAAAGCAACTCTCTGGGCATGATATGTTTTAGTACCTGAAATTAAGGGGTATCGCTGAAAAAGTATTTAAGTGAAATTTTTTAAAACAAGAGAGGTGCCATAAAAATTTCGAGTTAAGAATGTCTCGGTATAATTTGTGAGAGGGGGGGGGGGTGGTGATTGGACACCACGTATCATTTCTTTACTTGAGAATTTAAGTTCAAAATTTACGTGAATCATTAGTTCCCATGAAATCTTAAAATTAGCTTTAGACTACTTCGTGATTCTTCGAATTGAAAGAAATGTCACGCAACATTTTCATCCCATATACTGAAAAATTGAAACTATTTAAATATTGAGGAAAATAAATGACAAATGAGCGAGGAATGAGTGTTCATATCGATCATATACCTAAATAAACAGTATAAAAGTAATAATGAATTTGTTAAAAGTATACTGAAAGGGAGAATTTTTGCGTGAACTTTTAAAAATCCGTAGATTTTCTAAGACAAATCAGTCACGGAAAATCCCCTCTCTGTATAATATTTTATGAATATGTAGCAATTTTCCGAAGAATCCCTGTGAGCGATGCCACAGAAAAACGGAAATTGTCATCGGTCATATCTCAATGATAACTCTTTAATTTAAGACTTAATTAAAATTTACCCTATTGTCGATTTTATTGATCTATCTATCAATTCACTTCAAAAGTATGAAAGAGGGGAGCTAAAACTCAGGAAAATCGAGGGAACTGGATTTACGATGTATGGAATCCTCGAATGAGAATTTATCCATGCTTTAAGTTGTTTTTTAATAAATTATGGCAATGTCGATGTCGATTAAAGTCTTAGTGCCACCCAATGTATTCACAAGACTTCACACGAATCTTCTAGGAACTACTAAAACTACTACAAGTTTCGACACATTTCCTATTAACTATCAAAATTATCCCTACAGAAGGCCAATGCCGCACGTCCTATTTACTCCTCTGAAATAAATCAGTAGACGCTACCAAGGTGGCGTTATCTGCACGATGACTAATCGGATCACCTTTGGCAATTAGGAACTACAATTTCTGGCTTATGTTAGAAACAACATGCGTGCTATTAGTTTCCTTACGCACCTAGGTGTCTTATGCATGAGCCAGAAATCATAGCCCCTATTTCCAAAATGTCTTCCAATGGAGGTGTTGCATGTGTGAGGAATTTGCGATTTGACTGTTGATTCTTACGTAAAAGTTTGTGAGAAACACGATGGTGCCACTGGTTTTCTCTGAAATCAACTTCCAAGCTCAAGAAAAGCTCTCAAGTTGAGGCCAAAATGGAGGGGATATCCCACCCTACCCTGAGAGTCCACGTCTACATCAAGACAAACTCTCCATGCAAGATAGGGAGCAAATAAATTGACAGGGCTGCCACTTTATTTGGGGACTCCGAAACTGAAAACACGGCATCACTACTAATGTATTTGCTCCCTATCTTTGCATGGAGAGTTTGTCTTGATGTAGACGTGGACTCTCAGGGTAGGGTGGGATAATCCCTTCCATTTTAGCCTCAACCTCAGACCTTTTTTTGAGCTTGGGAGATGATTTCAGAGAAAACCAGTGGCACCATCGTGTTTCCCACGAACTTTTACACCAGAATTAACAGTCAAATCGCAAATTCCTCACTCATGCAACATCTCCATTAAAGGAGGGTTGAGCTCGATCCTCTAATCGCTAATCTTAGGCGAAGCGTGCGAGACCTAGGGGTGTCTCTCTTTCCTCTTGGGTTTCACGAACGAGGCGGAGGGGGATGGGGACGAGATGATTCTGGAGAGGGTAGTCGGGGACGGCAGCCGCGAAGGGTTCCGGGTGGAGCAGGGGGACGTCGGGGGAGACGGGGGAGAAACCTAGGTTGCGGGGGTGTTGGGCACGCTCCAAGCGGAAGAGCCGCTGGTTGACCTCGTTCGGGTTCACCGTGTTGTGCTCGTACTTCTGGAGTCGCGAGGACACCACCCAGATGTGGTTGTCGTCCAGGATTGCCGGCCGGATCTCTGAAATCCATTGCAGAGTCACCGGGTCGTAGGCCAGCAGACTGTCGGACAGAAAAAAAGAGACCAGAGTTAATAAGTAGAAATGAAAAGTTTGACAGATATATTGACGGAGAAGTTAAAAGAAATATTTAGATGATGCGTTTTGGCCATTTTCCGGTACCTAGAGCGGTAAGCGTATTCGCCATTGGACTTGTCTCTCAATCGGGCATTAATGATATTTGGCCTTTTTGGATTTTTGGACATTCTGGGTTTGGAATTTTTGACCTAGCCCCGATTTTGGCCGTCGTTTATAAAAATGCAGTTTTTTTCTAGGTATCAGTCATGGATTTATTTGTATACCCTAGAGCCCTAAATTCTTGGTAATTTTACCCTTTTCTTGGTAAATACACCGAGATTTTTTTTTCTGTGTGCAAATCCTGTTTTGCAGTATGGGGGTATGAGGGTATGACTCACCGGTAGTTCTTTTCTCCGAGCTTCCAGGAGACGAGAGCACACTCGGTGGCGGGGCTGAAGACGAGGGCCTCGGTGACGGGGTCGTAGGCCAACGGGATGGACTGCGAGGACTTCTCTCCGAGCTTCCTCACTGGGAGCGGGTCAGGGTCGGAGGCCGCCGGCGGGACCTTCAGGGCGGCCGTGCTCACCGCGAAGATGCTGTTCGAGGACATCGGATGCCAGAAGAAGTCCCGCTGAGGACCCGGGTTCGATAGGGCTGTTCCGATGATTCCGTCCATGAGGACAAACGAATCGCCGGCCACCTGGAATCAAGAAAATCCATCAAATTAATACAACGAGTTAAGGATACATTCACAAGAACACTGCCGTGCTAAAGAGAAACGTCGTACACTNTCCCCACACATTGGATCTAGAGTCCAGATTCTTGAAAACATTGACAAGAAAAAGACCTCTTGATTCAATCAGATTTAAGCTTAAATCAAAAGGAAATCCGCTCAAATTAAGAGGCTTGGTTCTTGATTTAAGCTTAAAACTGATTGAATCAAGAGTCCATTTTCTTGTCGATGTTTTTAAGAGTCTGGACTCTAGATCCAATGTGTTTTTTTTTTTTTTTCCAGTGAGACTGGGCCAGGCGATTGATAAAGGACTTGAGGAAGAGGAAAGAGGTCATGGGTACGTGGATTTGAACGTGGAGAACCAAGCCTCTTAATTTGAGCCTCTAATTTTGGTGTTAATTATGTCGAGGCGATGTTATGAGAAACGCCTTCAATTTTTGACATGCAACACGCACATCCCTAGACCCCGAATAGTGGTATCAAGACGCCGTTATACGAAAAGGAGAGATTGGCCGCGCGTAGAGACGTATAGCGGTCAGACGTAATTCGCGATAAAGGAAACATATTGTTGCCAATCTTCAAGAATCGCTGTTACTTACAAGTTCGGTTGCCACGCTCGAAATGGGCCTGTCAAAATGGGTCATCGATGTGATCGTTGATTGTCGCTGTTCAAAATTAACTTTGTGATCAACATAATCCGCTCATCGATGACACATTTTGATGGACTCATTCTCGGAATGGACTCTAGATCCAATGTGTTTCTTTCAAGTGTATGTACATTCGAGAGTTGCCAAATTTTACTGGTTAAAACATGTGTTTTCGAAGAAATTTTTATATGTTTTTCCTTGAGAATTCCAGATATCTTAGATCAAATACCAAACAAAATCGTCTGAAAAATTTGAAGAAAATTATTCACAAGTTCCAAGTAAATTCTTCGAGTTGCCGAATTTCACCGGATATGTCATGTAGTTTTGAAGACATTTTTGTATATTTTTCCTTAAAATTTTCAGATAATTTAGATCAAATACCAAACAAAATTTTGAAGAAAGATATTTGCAAGTTTTCCAGTAAATTCGTTTTTTATCTACGGAGATATGGCAACGTCTGGAGGCTCATACGGCGTTCTTCCTTAGCACGGCATGACGGAGGAAGAACAGTTGCTTGCATGTGTTCCATCAACATAGCGTCGTAAGTAATGCAATGCGTGCTGTGCTGAGTTAGAAAGCGTGAGGCAACTCAGAGCGCCTTCAGTCTCGCCTGCATGCAACAATTGCATCACTAGTGGCATGGCGCGAGTTGCGACGTATCAATTGTAATACCATTCAAACCTATGGTAAATAATATATTGTTATGGTGCTCGCTGCGAACACCCTGTATATCGATCCTTTTCCATAGGTTTAAATGGCATACCAATCGATTTATCGCAATTCCACTTTAAAGAAGGGTTTTCACCCGTGGGAAAAGTAAAAAAAAAGAAACTAGGAGAGAGTGCGATCCGTTCGCTGTAGATTTAGTTACACGATCAAATTGAGCCATCAAACTGAAGCTCTGATTGGTGGAAAAAGACCTGAGGTGAGGGTGCGACCAATGAGAGGCCCAATTTGATGGCTCAATTTGATCGTGTAACTGGACCTTTTAAATGACACGTCACATTCATATCTTGACCTCACTTAATCTCAGTAAGCTCGAGAGAGAAGGTACTGATGGAAATAATGAATTTTCCGTTGTTCTTACCGTGAATTTGCCGTGGTCTGGGTGAGGGTAGAAAGCGGGGTCGAAGTGTCTCCAGATTTCCGTTGTTTTCACATTGTAAACGATGACGGCAGGAGCAGCGATATCCGAGATGTAGATGTGTCCAACGTCGCAGTTGCCTTCCGGAGTGTTTCCGAATTCGTCGGTGTCGTCGACTTGGAAGTTAGATAACAAGGAGTTGGCCAGGAGCACGCTCTTCGGGATTTCGATTCTCTTGACCTGCGTTAACATGATCGAATTATTAGATACATAACGGAGAAACACGCAAGGCGAAACAAAACAACCAATGGGTCGGTTACAAAATTACTTTTTCAGAGATGCTCAAATCCCGCAAGAAAATTGTCAAGTTGAAAGTCACTTACAGACGTTCCCAATGTCCGTAACGTAAATTTCGAGTCATTTTTCATACGGAAAATCTCTTCTTTTCGCTCCAGTAAAAGTTCGCATCACGCATATTTTCCGTAGGACTGATTTTAGCTCCGGGACCTAAACCACGCGTAAGACCACTACTCTTTCCGTAGTGTCCCCACGTGATCCTACAGAAAAAACACGTAGTACAAAAAAAATCCCTCCCTTCAATAAACAAAAAACATGTCATTTTCAGGCTAATTAGAAATTTCTAAATTCACGTGACTGTTAATCTAAAGAACGGTATGCGGTCTCCGTGTAAAGAAGTGAATGAGCAAATAAAAAATATTCGAAAACCGAAAAATGCCAATTCTTTATGTTCGCGTGAATAAAATTCAATTGTATCAGCAGCTATAGCGTTTATTACATAGCTACAATAGTAGCAGTTTCCGTGAAGATTTTTCCGACTGAATGCGCGACGATATACTTAATGAATGTTCAAAAAGCGGAGGATTCTGCGCGGCAATTTATGATACAAATATGTCAACTCTGGTGTAAGCGGTGAAGTATCACGCAAAATTGAAGGCGTTTTGAATGTTCAAAAAGCGGAGGATTCGGCGCGGCAATTTATGATACAAGTATGTTAACTCTGGTGTGAGCGGTGAAGTATCACGCAAAATTGAAGGCGTTTTCGACTTGTTAAAAAATGCGTTCTCCTCTTTGTTTCTTCTTCTTTTTTAAATTGCCATTTTCTCTCAGGCGCCAGTTCTGCGCAACAGCAAGTTGTAAACGGGTGCTTGTGCCTACCTCTCGGTGGGTGTGAAGATCGAAAGCGATCAATTTTGGCGGGCAGATCGGGTCGGGTGCAACGTAGCTGTCGAGGATTCCACAGTCGAGGGCCCAGAGCCTGCCGCACCTGTCGACTCGCAGTCTGAATACGTTGACGAAGCCGGAGCAAGTGGTTGGGGTCTTCGGCTGCCCCTTCACACCTTGTACGTGCCAATCCCAGCTCGGGTATGCCTGAGATAAACAGAAAAAATAACGAAAATTAGATGTAAGCGCAAATTGTATAACAAAGCTAAAATTTAAAAATATATAAATAAAATAGGGAACTTTTCTCCACCTGGGAAAAGGTGACGGGGACGTCCCATGAAGGGATGGCGACAGGGCGTTGACGAGGAGATGTTGCGTTGTCAGTTGTCTAATAACCTCTGCGAAGATAGGCACATGTGGCGTTCGGCTATCGCAGAACGTCAGAGCGCGTTCTAGGAGCGACTTTAATGTTATGTTATGTTATGTTATGTTATGTTATGTTATGTTATGTTATGTTATGTTGAATAAAATACACGTAAAAAATTAAATCGCTAAAAAAAGTGACTGCATTGTTTCGACGTAGATTTTACAACAAAAAAATGCTACGTGGTTGAATTAACTTACAATAGTGGTTAAAGTGGCATTTTTTTTGTAAAATCTACGTCGAAAAATTACAGTCACTTTTTCAGCAATTTAATTTTTTCCGTATAGGGGACTGGCTCTACTCTCTGCGGGCTGATTATTGATACTGATGGACAAAGCGACAGACGAAGAAGACGTTGGGAGTATGGAGCGATCCTTTTGGTTAAAGTGGGTGGTTCCTATAGACTAAGGGAGAAAATGATGGACCAACTGTATAGGGTCTCTGATAGCGTTGCCGTCGGTTAGTTCTGTTACCTGCCTCTTTTGTCCATTACAAGCACCCGCCTCCACCAGTAAGAACCTTCCATACCCCTTTTATCTTCTTTGTCCATAGCTTTGACCATCAATTTGAGCAACTAGCCCGCAGGCTCCTTGAAACTTGAATCCCGAAGTTGCACTCCTGACCCATGAACCTTGTGTTTGAACTCTCGATGTTTGTTTACCTACAGTGTAGATTTAACTTGGTGTTTGCCCTCGGAGAGATCCAGATTCGCATAAATAATCATAGCAGTTTCCATAACGGGTTTTCCGACTAAATGCGAGACAGTGCACCCCATGAATGTTCGAAAAGCGGAGAATTCTGCGCGGCAATTTATGATACAAATATTTCAACTCTGGTGTGTGCGGTGAAGTATAGTGCGAAACTGAAGGCGTTTTCGACTGGTGACAAGGACAACAGTTTCACGTCGCTCACAACCACGCGTGCTTCGAATACGGGCAGTGGCGTGGCGTGAATTGCGATATATCGATTGTTATGCCATTTAAACCCATGCTGAAGAATCGATTATTAAGGTGTTCGCTGCGAACACCCTGTTTATCGATCCTTTTCCATAGATTTAAATGACCGATCAATTGATGTATCGCAAAGCACGCTACGCCACTGAATACGGGTCGTATACACTCGCACCCCTCTCGTCATTCCTTTGAGGACGAGTCGAGACATCTGAAAGAACATATCGTCATCCTCCGACTAAAGTATCCCAAACGCCATGCGACGTGTAAAAATTTCCGCCACCATTTTATTTTTTTACAGAGAAATTGTTGGTTGAATCCGTTTGAAAATTTCACTGAATTTTATTAGCAGCACAAAGAAAATTCAGTGAAATTTTCGAATAGCCTCGTTGAACAATTCCTCTGTAAAAAAAATAAAATTGTGGCGAAAGTGCAGTGGCGTGGCGTGCATTGCGATGTATCGATGTTATGCCATTTAAACCTATGGTGAAGAATCGATTATCAAGGTGTTCGCTGCGAACACCCTGTTTATCGATCCTTTTCCATAGGTTTAAATGTCATGGCAATCGATTTATCGCAAAGCACGCCACGCCACTGCAAAAGTGTTGAAACGTCGCATGGCACTCGTGATACTTTGGCCGGAAGGTGACCATATGAAAAGTTTCTTTAAGGACGTGAGCTAATGGAAATCTAAACAATGGATCATTCGGTCGGGCCAAAATTAAAGTATCACACAGGCCATGACTCTCATCAAAATTTCGCGTAGAACAGATTATACATTTTAAAAATTAAAAAAAATATATAACTCTTGGATGAGCGATTAAAAAGAATGTATGAATGTCTGCTACAGCCGTTTCAGTAGATTTTTATTTTATTCGTATAATTTTTTTTATTTTTTCAATACTTTTCGGAATACTACCGTCAAAAAATGCATCGGCATCCTCCCAAAAATTCGAAGGAAAGAATAATTGCAAAATGGACAAATCTAATTATTGGTCCATGGTCCATTCGCCTTTACGCCTAAGCTTGGTTCGCGGCAGTGGCATGGCGGCTTGGCGATAAATCGATTGATTTGCCATTTAAACTTATAGAAAAGGATCGATAAATGGGTGTTCGCAACGAACGCCTTAATAATCGATTCTTTACCATAGCTTTTGATGCGAAAATATCGATAGTAATCTATCATTCACGCCTCGCCACCGGTTCGCGGCGCCCTGCATGACATTACATAAATGACGACAGTTCTTGCGGTATCGATCGAGAGTAAGTAAGACACTAAAATCAGGGAAAAAGTTGTGAACGGACTCAAAATCAGCTGATCATACAATCGGACGTGCCCGGTGAAGGCCTGTCCGCGCCCGGACCGAGAAAGTGTATCGATTGAATAATCGCAATTAGAAGAAATTAACACGCGGAATGCATCTCCAATAAGCAGGTTCCATTCTCCTGTACTCAGGAAAAACGCCATACCAACTTCGAAATGTTGCCAAATTTCCCTAGATGAAATATGGTGTAATCATGCGAAATGATGGCCCTTACGATGGATCAAGGCGGCCGCGGCGGATCGCCAAGATCGTCAAATCATGATTTTCGATGCATCGATTGATCTGCGATTCAAACCCATGAAAAAATATCGATCAACGGGGCGTCTGGCACGAACACCTTAATAATCATCTTTGCCTTTACCTTTGCCTCATCATCAAGTGAGGAAATATCGATAAATCAATCATTCATGCCTCGGCACTGGTTAAAGCGATTGCTCACCACGAAAAACTAGCTCACTCGAATGCCGAAATCGCGTGGATATGGTGAAATTCTAAGCACACTCGCGCTAGCTTACATGAAGACACAAATTCCGGGTCCTCTCACGATACAAAAAAAAAAAGAAAAAAAGAGTAATACAATTTACACTGGTAAAAAAAAAACCTCTTGGTTCAAGAGTGCAGTTTCTTTGTCGCCGGATTCAAGAGTCTGGACTCTTGTTCCAATGCAAAATCCGCTTGAATCAATGCAAAATACGCTTGAAACAAGAGTCCAAGACTCTTAAATCCGGCGACAAGAAACTGCACTCTTAAGTCAATGCAATGCGGCATTGGTCCAAGAGGTTTTTTTTTTTTTACCAGTGAAAGTGCCACGTTAAGATATTCACAAAATCGATCGGGAATTCTTGGAAAATGGAAGTTTCGGGTGGGTGGTGAATCTATCGTTTTGGTTAGAATTTTAAGAAAATGAACAAAGTCGGAGATGTTGTGAAGTTTCAATGAAGGTATGCATTTTTTTTTTTTTTTTTTTTTTTACTCGTCAATATGTAATTTACGCCTTTAATATCACAAACATGCATTGACTTGATTGCAACTTAAAATTTAGTGCTTTTCTTTGAAAACTTGCATTCTCAAGTTCCTTAACTTAGTTCCTTCTCTCACAGATGCTCGTAAATCCTCAGGTGTAACGAACATTGACCATCTTAGAGCTGCAACATCTCGCAAAACTTTACATAATGATATTTCATGATTTTTTTTGTAACTTTTGTAATGGACTCAGTATGCCATCAAACGCATAGAAACAGTACAATCTTAATTCTGAAATTTTGAAAAGAAAAAAAAACCTTGAGTAAAATTTTGAAGTTACTGATGGTTCTCGGATAATCGTTGGGACAAAATAATAATACTCAGAATAAAAATTGGATAATTTTTGCGGATCGTATACGGTCCCCCGGAAAAATCGTTGGAATTTCGTGGAGAATAAAATTCCATTTGTCAGCAAAATGAATTGCATCTCAGCCTGTAAGAGTTGTAACACATCCCTACATACCACATACCATTCTAAAGAATAACTACTCACCTCAAAGACAGGTCCTTTCTCAGCGGAGTTCTTAGGAATGGAGACAAGTGTCGCTGGGTTGTCGGACCAAATTTTCGGGATGGCGAAGAATTGACGATCGAAACCAACCTCTGTACTGGTTATTATGGTCCTGTTGGCCAAGAAAAACTCTTGACCGGGGTAGCCGCGTGGAGTGTTGTAATTCACCAAATTCCATTCGTGAACCAAATTTAGCTGCTGTGCTGACGCTAGCGCCAAGGTCCACAAAACACCAACCGCGAGAAACATCTGTGTCAAGAAAAATTCAGTTTAGTGATGAATCTTAAAGCACTGGAGTTGAAAAAGTAAGGTCAGAGTTAAGATCATACTGCCCCCCGAGTGGGCTCAGAACAGAAAAGATTTTGTAATAGTTTATTAAGTCAAGTCTTAAGTTGCTCCCACTGGAATTAGAGGATTCAGTGGGATTCCCACGAGAGTTTTTGCGAAATGTCATCAGGCAGTTGGATACAACTTTTGAGAATTAGTTTTAATTTTAACGATGATAATTTTTTTTGCTTGCAATTGAGATCCAAGAAGATATCAGCATTTTTTGGCTTGCAATTGAGATCTAAGAAGATATCAGCTGTCTCTAACACGAAATCTCTCACTCTGGTTTGAAAAGCGAGCAACTTCTCTACCTTGTACTATTTAGTAAAATGCACCTGGTTTCAGACTTGTTGGAAGTACATGTTCCTTGCAAATCGAAAATTGACAAATAAATTAAAAAGTTCAAAATTAAAAGTACTTTAAGGTTTTTGCGGAGAAATTAAAAATTATCGATACTGATTCTACTAATATATCGGAGCCAAACTTTTTTCAACGCCTCTTCGAAATGATATGTTGTATTTTATCACTTTTTTAGGTTTCCCAACTTGGGGGAAGCTAATTTTCTAGGAAAATTTTAATTTTTCCTGCAAGTCTAAAAGAAAACCGGTGTATGATGGATCGCTTGCTTTTTTTTGTTTAACGAAAATAACTTCTCCTTGTGACTCGTTTGGAAAGGTGATCTTGTGCCTCGAACCGAATATGCGATGGAATTTTTTTAGCATGTCCAATTGTCCATGGACAGTGTCTATGGTGTGTCTACGACGCGTGTGCTTGTTTTAATGAATGAATTGATCACACATTCACGAAAAGCTGACCTAATTCCTAATTTCACTCTAAACCAAGCTCCTAATTCGCAGGACGGTCAACCTATAAAAAACAGAAAAAATTCGGCCCATGATTTTTTCCTAATCGCTGTCATTCACCATAATTTTGTTTCTATGTTTATATAACGCCGTAAAAAACTTGAGATAAACGCCACGAGAGGAAAAAAAAACATCTGTCCACACGGGGAATTGGTGCCAAAAACGACTTCAAATTGATTATTTTTAATGTTGCTATGCTGAAATCTCTTGAAACATAGACTACATTTGACAACTTCATTATGAGGCAAAGGTAAAAAAATCGGATTTTGGGATTCCGACAAAGCACGTTCACCAATGTCCTAAAAAAGTTCAATTGCCAGCTGTTTTGGTTCTTTCTCGGGTCATATGTAGCCGATACAAGTTCTCAGCTAGATCCAGTGTAAATCGCCAAGAGAGGGGTGAGAAATGGCAATTGATCCCCCCCCCCCCCCNCGCACTCAAACCAAATGTTACGTCTTCATTACCGGAGTGCGTTCGTTTTCAAAATGGGATGAGATGTGAATAAATTATTGATAGAAGATTTCGTCCCCACTTTACTTCCTCCAAAAGCTGATTACGATTATAAGAGATTCTCTTCATTCTTCTCACCACAATTTTTCTTCCACATTTTTTTAGAGGAAAATCTCATGAATGCATTTGAAGTGATTGGAGGACAAGGTGCATAAGAGCAGTTTTTGAAAAAATGGATATACCAATGATTTCAAATGAATCTAGTGCGAATTCTGTGAAAATTTTCTTCCCAAATTCCAATTTTGAAGCATCAAAAATTCATTTTGAACTTTTCTTCCGCCATAAGAACCAAGTGTATTTCTCGGAATATCAAAAACTGCACCCATGCGCCTTGTCCTCCGAGTCCCTCGTTTGTTCTCTTGCCTAATCAATAAAATAAAGGGATTTCACGATCTTGAAAATATCGGATACTGACATCTACTCTTTTTAAAAGTTGTTATTCAAATGATTGAGATTTTTTTTGGAAAAAAATATTAGTACCAGATTATGTGCTTCTCAGTATTTTAGTCGATGAGGTTTTTTTTTTTCTCGGAATTATTAAGCTCCCGATGCCTCAACGAAAACATGACGATTTTTCAAGGCAGTTCAATACGCGGGAATTACATAACGTGGCCAATTTACAGCAAGAGAAGACATTTAGAATTCTTATTCGTTTCATCAAAATTATTACATGATGCATTGTCGATGTAAGGTCAGCCTCGTCAATAAAGCCTCATTTGTGCTGGTCCGCTCGTCTAATCTGACTGACAAATCTGAAAGGATGTAAAAATCGTTGGCCCGAGAAGTGAGCGTTTTCTTAAATACATGCTAGCACATTGACAAGAGTGTTGATCGCCCATGGAAAAAGGGTACTACATTAGTATGAGAGTTTCCAATTTTTTGGGACAGTAAATGTCAAAAAATTCAACACCAAACCGATGTTGCGATGGCTCGATAAGCTGCAGTTCGAAAATGTAGTTCTGAGTAAATATATTTAAAATTTGAACCGGTTATATTCAGGGCACACAATCACCAGATTAAGGAATAAAATCTGATTAGATACTGTCCAGTAGGTAGTTTTTAGGTGAGGAGAATGGAGAGGGGGGGGGGTATCAAAAAGTACCGAAAAAAACTTGCGTAGCGTGCTAAATTTTTAAGGGACATTTACAATTTAAGGTGATTCGATGGACGCCATATTTTGTGTTAGAACGGCATGCGATATATCGCATCAATTGGTTCCATTTTTTCAGCTACTCGTTACTTTCCTCAAATTTTGAGATCGCAATTCTGTTGTCAGGAGACTAAAGCACTCACTTACCAATTTTTACAAACGAATTCAACGTAATAAAGGCGTGGTTTTTTTTAGAGAGAAAACATCGCATTCGATACTGATATCGAAACTGCACTCGAATGCGATATTTCCTCTCTAAAAAAACTACGCCTTTAGTACGTTGAATTTTTTTGTTAAAATTCGTAAGTGAGTGCTTCAGTCTCCTGACAACAGAATTGCGATCTCAAAATTCGAGAAAATGATTAGTAGCTGAAAAAATAGAGCCAATCGCTGCGATATATCGCACGTAGTTCTGACACAAAATATGGCGTCCATCGAATCACCTTAAGACAAAATCTTCGAGGCATTACTTGGAAATCAGAAAAGCCGTTTTCTACAAGAAGGTTCATAGAGGCCAAGAACTCTCCTTGCACCCACCTCCCGAGTTATTAATGTCATTTCTGCACCGTAACGACTTCGTATTTTATTTGATGCGTTTCATTGATCGAGAACTAGTAGTAGCGTGAGTAAAACTGACGAGAGGCGAGTATCCGCAATCCGTAAACGGTTAGCTCATCTGACGAACATTAGTTTGCAATTATGCAATTGGAGATATTCCATGTTGCAAGATTTTGCAAGAGGTTTCCAGGAGCATAGAAAATCTTTGCGTTTTTCTTTCTCGGCGGAGGATGAAACATGTAATCATGCTCTCATTACTGACTGGGTGAACGAAAATGGCTTTGACATTGCTGAACTTTTGCTGCGAGAAGAAGGTGAAGTTTTAGTGGCACGATCGTAAAATGGCACAAACGCAATCAATCGTTGTAATCTCTATCATGATCGAAAAAAGGAATGAACTTATGTTATAATTGGTGGTTTCTTGATCTGGAGTGTCTCTAAATAGCTAACAGACTTGAAGATATCGCGAGGGACAAAGCTTAGGATAATGGTACGAATCTCGTGCAACTCGTGAACTTTTAATTTGGGAGTGGGAAAGAAGTACGCCTTCTTGGAGAGGTATACGCCCACTCATGGGGGGATGTGAGGGTGTGGAATAACACCCCCCCCTTCACCCGGAACTTAGTGGGGTAGGGGCCTGAAGAGGCCAACCACAAAAAATATTGACATTTCAACCTTTCTAAATTTTAATTTTATACACTATTTCAACTTGGAGAGGTAATTAGATTTTGGGGTACAGACATACTAAAATCGGATCCCGGCATATTTTTTCTGCTGAACTCAAAAGTAAATGAAAAGTTCCCCCATCATACACAGGTTTTCTGGAAAATTGAGTTCTCCCAAAACAGCCCGTTCTATGAAAAGTTTGATTCCCTGGAACATCCTGAGCTATTCAATGTTTTCCCCCGGAACATAAGGCTAAACAAGAATATGAATCTATGTTGTTTCTTCTTTTCTTTTTCCTTCTTTTCTCCATGTTCATATTTCGCTTCCGATTCTCAGGACGGCGAATTGATTTGAATTGAGAAAAGGACGGAATTGTGAAAAGGACGATGATCTGTCGGTCTGAGGTTAGCCAACAGGTCTCCGAACACGGAGAGAAACAATCGTTGCTCTTACAATGCTCAAGGTGGATTCCAAGCACTGTACCTACTTTTCTAGTCGTGATTAAACCTGTTCTTTTGCGGTAATAATTATGTCGGTCTCGTTAATAATGCAACATTGTTTTCAGAACCGAAGCATTGTTATACTAGAACCAAACTACTTGCTACGACGAAAGTAAAATAACATTGTAACTACGACTGAGAAAATAGGTAAGACGTGGAATCAACTATGAAAATTGTAAAAGGAACAATTTTTCATTATCCGTGAAAAGATGCGAGAGGAGGGACATTTTCCTAAGGTCGCGACTTGCTGTAGTAAGTTGCAACTTGGTTCAAAACTTTCTAGCGCAGTAATCGTGAAAAAATGGTGAGGTATTGTAATCCAATGATACTCTTTCACGGACTACGAGGTTGAGCCATAGTTTAAAAGTCACCCAACAGAAAATATAAAATAAATCGACCCCTTTACTTGAGTTGACTTTTTTGTTACCGAGCGTTAAAGTCTCTGAATTGGACTGCATTTCGCAACAGTGGCGTGGCGTGCTTTGCAATATATCGATTCATCTACCATTTAAACTCATGGAAAAGGATTGATTATTAAGGTGATCGCAGAGAATACCCTAATAATCGATTCTTTACCACAGCTCAAATGGGGGAATATCGATAATCGATCATTCACGCCTCGCCACTGTTTTGCAAGAAAAAAATACAATTTCTGGTAATTTCTGGCTAGCTTCTGTATGCACTTGAAGATTAATGGCACAGTTTTGTTCCTAAAATGAGGCAGAAATACTAACTTCTAAATGCACTATGAAGTTTAATTATTATTTCACACATTTATACATTCAATGGCTCTCTAAACCGTTTTACAACTTGAGGATCTGAGTTGTATCATTCTCAATATTTATTGTGAAAAATGATGATCATTCTTGATCCCATTATTCAGACGTTGCATGCTTGAGAAATCATCGGTTTTCGGCCTATTTTAAACTCCCCGTGCCGCTGACCGACAATCTTTTGACAATCTACCGCGCTAAGGAAAAAAGCCGTATGCACCTTTATCAGTTGCCAAATTCCTTTGACTAAATACGAATTTTCAGGAAAACTAGTGAATATTTTCCGTTCAATTTTTTGGAATATATTCTTCGTGACTAAATCTAAATCATCTGATAATTTCAAGAGAAAATATTCAGAAATCTCCTCGAGAATAATTATTTCATACGGCGGTTTTCCTTAGCATGGCAGAATAGTCTGATCCCTTGGCGAGACAATTCTATTTTGTCTTTCGACTAAGAGGCCTACAGAAAGTTGATTTTAGGGGCACATTTTATGAGGACTGTAAAAGATAACTCATAAATTGAAAATGAGAACTTGATAGGTACCGTTGACGATACGAATGTTCAATTAGGGAAAATTCGTCCTCACAAATCGAAGTGCAAAAGTAGTTGGACCAAAAAAATGTAGGTGCTTATTTTTAAATTGTAATGTACTGAATGGACTGAAATCTAAATCAACTGAGAACATAATTTTCATCCATTACCTCAATAATTCGTAAAGACGCACAAGCTCATAATTTTATTCAGTTTTTTTGTGTGGAAACCTCATTAAGAGTACCGAACAATTTAGGGAGATTCACAAGGAGATGACCGTTAAATTTTCATCAAAATTTACGTTAAATATCCTACCTCCCACGATAAAAATTGTTAAATACGCGTTATTTCTGCATGATTTCCACGAGAACACCGAAAAATAGTTTTGTGATAAAAGTCATTACAACATGTATACACATGTATAAGTAGTAAATTTAACGTAGCTCGAAATAATGTAACCTAATAGAAGACGACGTGGGTATAAAAGGCTGACGTTGAAGCAAAAAAAGTTGGGATGTTTCGCCTAAAGTCTCACGCATTTTCAATGGAAAACAGAAAAAAGGTTGAAAGTATAGTTGTAAGGTTTCTTCCACTTGAAGGACTGTGTGCTTAAAACTTTTAACATTTTCTTCTAAAACTGACTGCTTTTCAAATTTTAGGGAATTTTATGGCTCGTTAGAATGCTCCACCAAGAATAATGTATAACAAACCGCTTTTACTATCTCATCAGATTCAAAATAGGTATATTGTCAGGTTGGTGGATTTAGCGAAATATATGCGGGCATTGCACTAAATCAAACGGGACTTATCTACGAGAGGATCAAATAAATTTTAGTGCCTTCGGACAAATGGATATATTGCAGGCAAATAGTAAAATCAGGCATTTTGTCAAATGCCTAGGCAAATAGTCAAATATTCTAACTTAGAGCGAAATTCTAATTCTTTTCCTAATTTCAGACAAAATAATTCATTGCTCCTGCAAGAAAACATTTTCAATAAAAATTTGCACACACGCACACACACTAGTATTATAAACAATTTTTAGCTCCTGAAGAGTCACTGATCTTGAAATTTTCAGCATGTCGTAAAATACAGAATTTTCGGAATTTCAACATTTAAAAATAAGAGAGGCAATTGAAGAGGAAAATACAACAAGAGTTCGTAGGTTTGATGAGTTATTTTTCCAAAAATAGTGAAGAATCGTGAGCTCTTCGCCATAAGTACACAAAATTTTGTAGACCGTCAAAATTTGACTATCTGCCTAGGCATTTGACAAAATGCCTGATTTCACTATTTGCCTGCGACAGATACATTGGTGATACTTCAAAATCTATTTTCTTGGGTATTAAAGAGTGGCTATTTATCAAGAATATTTCTTCTCAAAAGAATATGTCAGCTTTACTCTATTTTAATCTGCAGAAAAATTTGTCTAGGATACCAATAGAAATTTACAGAAGCACACAGGAATATAAACTATTTATAATACCTTTAATCCACTGTAGAGACGACACAGAGAGGAGATCACGGACACAGTATAGCACTGAAACAACACGCGCACCGACCGAAAAAAAGACGACTCGAAAATCAAATCTTAAATCGCGCTAGATGTCACACTGCCCGCTGAACCTGCCGTCAGCGCAATTGACGTTGAATTGACCAAGCGCGGAAAGCCGCACCAATACTTGTACGCTTAAGGGTTACGTAAGTAGGGTTGGAGCTGGTGCGCAGCCCTTTAGAATCCTCTCCTGCTATTGGCCCAATGTCGGTAGCCTTTCCCGGGTTGCCAGATTGAAGCCCTTATTGAGGGTTATATGAAGAGTTAGGGGTGATAAGCGCGGAATTGGAAAGTGCTTATATAACCAGTGCGGGATTTCGAAGCCGGTAACGCACAGGGCAACGTTCAAATTATGACAATGGGTCAAGGAATTACCCTGTTTCTCGTGAGGATGATGGATTTGCTTCTCTGGTCACTAGTCCAGCAGATCTTTGAAATGTTTTAATTTCTCATTTTTTTCTTGGACGGATGAAATTAAAGTGCACTGGGAAAAAAAAAACACATTGGATCTAGAGTCCAGACTCTTAAAAACATCGACAAGAAAAGATACTCTTGATTCAATCGGATTTTTGCTTAAATCAAGAACCAAGCCTCTTAATTTAAGCGGATTTCCTTTTGATTTAAGCAAAAATCCGATTGAATCGAGAGTTTTTTTTTTGTCAATGTTATTAAGAGTCTGGACTCTAGATCCAAGCGACTTTTTTTCCAGTGTACATTTCTACCCGTTCGTTAAAGTCACCGAATGTGCAACCATAAAATTGTCGACTACTCTCTAATATTGGAATAACTGTAGTGGTATTATGATTCTAGACGATAAGATCTAGTATTTGTCACAAACATTTATTTTTACCCAAGTGATGTACACTGGAAAAAAACACTTTGGATTTAGAGTCCAGACTCTCAAAAACATCGACAAGAAAAAATACTCTCGATTCAATCGGATTTTTGCTTAAATCAAGAACCAAGCCTCTTAATTTAAGCGGATTTCCTTTTGATTAAGCAAAAATCCGATTGAATCGAGAGTATTTTTTCTTGTCGATGTTTTCAAGAGTCTGGACTCTAGATCCAAGCGACTTTTTTTTCCAGTGTACATTTCTACCCGTTCGTTAAAGTCACCGAATGTGCAACCATAAAATTGCCGACTACTCTCTAATATTGGAATAACTGTAGTGGTATTATGATTCTGGACGATAAGATCTAGTATTTGTCACAAACATTTATTTTTACCCAAGTGATGTACACTGGAAAAAAAAACACATTAGAGTCCAGACTCTCAAAAACATCGACAAGAAAAAATACTCTTGATTCAATCGGAGTTTTGCTTAAATCAAGAACCAAGCCTCTTAATTTGAGCGGATTTCCTTTTTATTTAAGCAAAAATCGGATTGAATCAAGAGTGTTTTTTCTTATCAATTTTTTCAAGAGTCTGGACTCTAGATCCAATGTTTATGTTTTTTTTTTTTTTTTCCAGTGTAGTTCCTCACCCATTTGTAAAAAGTTTTGATAGTTGATCGATCACCAGAAAATTTCCAGATTTTCGTACATCCAAGATTCCATCCAAATCTCCCAAGATTCACATAGTTTTGAAGTACTACATGTGCTCGCAATGATGATCTGACAGAAACACACTAAGAAATAATTCCGAAAGTACATTCCGAGTGAATTTCAAAACCAGTTTTGTCTTCTGATTTACAATATTCACTTAGGACGTACTTTTGAAGTTATTTAAGAATGTACCTCAGTCAATGATTTGCACCAGTGCTTGATGGACTACAGCGTGCTGTCACTTTTGGGGATCTCTCAAAAAATTCACAGAAATCCAGAAATTAAAAGTTGATCGATCGAAGCTGAAGATCGACTATCGAATCATTTTTCAAAGTGCTGCAGATTTACCTCAAGCGAAATACGGCGTACTTATATTGGTATATCTAAAAAAATTATCTATTTAGTGGATGAGCTCGACTTTTTAGTTATGCAGAGGTTGAGTCTTAGTGATTCTACGATCATGTTCTTTGGAAAACTGAAAATTGGGCATTGAGAAGCCAAAATGGTTTCATGGAGCAACTTGAACGTTTTTCATTCTGAAGTTTCGTACATCGTCTATATAATTATATAGGGTGCAGATTCGATCGACATGAATCGATCGAAAAATAAAAACGTGAATAGATCCAAACACACCGCTCTTGCTTCCAAAGGAATGACTTGTCCTTTTAAAAGGAGGCACAGTTTCGTCTAACTTAGTTAAATAATGTATGTACTTGCATAATAGTTAAAATTTAGTTAAAAAATGTAAGTCAATCGATGACACTTTGGGAGAAATGGATACTACAATAATATTAAGACAGGCTGAGTAGAGAAACTTTCAGCAACATTTTGTGCAAAAATTGACTTGGTGGCTTCTATTAAAATAATTATGACCCTTGTAGTTCTTGCTACAAGAGGGAATAGTATACTTTGCCAAGATCTTCAGCTATATTTATTTTCGTTTTTCCAAGGAATTTTCCAGACCATGAAGTTTCGTACAGTCCATCCTCTCGAGTTCATGGAATTTGCTCTACGCTTTTTTGACTAGACTTACGTTAAAACATATCGATGACTGGAGGTTCAAATATGCATATATCTATTGCAGCGTAGCTGCGGTTGTGTTTTATTTTTTAACATAATCAAAAAAAAGTATTGATCAGTTTTCTTTAAAAAAATAAAATATGACCTTTTTGCAGTGTTACAGATTTTTCGACTTAAGATATTGAATGAAAGAATTGTTACTTTACTGCTTGTACGAGTATATTATTCTTTCAAAGGAATACTATTCGAACCATTCACGCGAAATTTGCAGGAATATTTTTGAAGGAATGAAACAAAATTTCGCGAGGAAACGATGATCAGGCGTTCTTTCTCGCTAAGTAAAATGTGCAAGGAGATTTGCAACATCGCAAACCAAAACAAGGTTTGGTACTTTTACTACAGCTATGTACCATTGTCATTGCTTAAAGGTTAGCTAGTGCATCGGCAAGTTCAGTGATAACGCGAGTAGTAATTGATTTCCGTTAGTGTGTCACAGGATCTCTATTACAAGAATGCATGAATGACACAAATATGATTAATGTTTGGTCCAATTATGAAAAAGAACGTTTGCATCGATAACTTAAAAGTGGTTATTATCAAGTATAGTAATTAGGTGCTGAGCCGGGCCGGCTCATGTAACCTCAAGGACCGTAAAGATAGGTAGATGATCTGTCCAGCACTCCAGCGACATACTTTCACGCGCCTATTACCTCAAAGTTGCCGCCGCAAATTAACGCCGGATGTACTCATAGTTTTCGCACGCACAAAAGAATACAAAATAAACATAAAAGGTGAATCCATTGGATATGATTTTTGATCGAATTATTACTCAACAATAATTGCGAGTGCATGATAGGTACGGTACACACAAAAATTTGTTGGATACCCACGACCAAATCGATTTTTTTCTTCACTCAGCAATTGAATGCTGCAAAGATGGTCCAGAATGCTGAAAATGCATTCCGCACCATTTTTTTCAATACTGTAATTGTGGGGCTTAGTGGATAAGGCGCATAAGGACAGTTTTTGAAGAAATTGAGATATTACTGCTTTCCAGTAAAGCTAGTAGTAAAGACATATTCTGTAAAAACTTCGCTCCCAAATTCCAATTTTTAAGCATCAAAAAGTCAGTTTGAACTTTCTTTCCGCCGTAAGGATCCATGTTATTTCGGAAACACGTATGTATTTTTTGAAATAACAAAAACTGCACTTATGCGCCTTGCCATCCAAGCCTCTTCATTGTGAGAGAATGATAGCACAAAATTTGTTGGATACCCACGGCCAAATCGATTTTTTTTAAACTCATAATTGAATGCTACACAGATTAGCATTTGTATGAATTAGCATTTTTCCAATGCTACAATTCACGACAAATGAAATTTTGCGGCGTCGCGGCGTTTCGCCAATTGAATCTATGATGGAAAAAATAAGATGAGGGGATGGGGGAATAATATCTTTTGATGTCTTGCAAGTGCAATACTGCATCTATATCTGCTTGCCACAATTGCGCTTCACCATCGGCTTAATAACACACACCTACACAAATGAGTCGTTTCCCTTGTCTATTTCTTAATATGTACACTTGCAATAGCTCTGAAACTATCACTTATTAATCACGCGAAAAGGACATTACACCAGGAAAATGTTCTCGTTGCATTAGATGTCATTAACAACTCTTCCTCTCATCACGACTACAGACCTAAATTTTCTACTAGTTCAAGGCCCTCGAAGCTTCAGAAGGTGAAAGCAAAGCCGTTTAGTCGATCAGGGTTTCATTGCCATTTATTTGAAAAATATGAGCCTGTATATGTCGCAGGCAAATAGTGAAATCAGGCATTTTGTCAAATGCCTAGGCTGATAGTCAAATTTTGACGGTCCACAAAATTTTATGAATTTATGGCGAAGAGCTCACGATTTTTCACTATTTTTGGAAAAATAATATCATCAAACCTACGAACCCTTTTTGTCTCTTCCTCTTCAACTGCCTCTCATATTTTCAAATGTTGAAATTCCAAAAATTCTGTATTTTATGACCTGCTGAAAATGTCAAGATCAGTGTCTCTTCAGGAGCTAAAAATTGTTTAAAATACTATTATGTGTGCAAATTTTTACTGAGAATTTTTCTTTTAGGAGCAATGAATTATTTTGTCTGAAATTAGGAGAATAATCAGAATTCTAATCTAAGTTAGAATATTTGACTATTTGCCTAGGCATTTGACTATTTGCCTAGGCATTTGACAAAATGCCTGATTTTGCTATTTGCCTGCGACATATATAACATTTCGGACTACAGAATTTTGTCTTTTGATTTTTAGATGTTCATTTATCATTCTCAGTGTGAAGTCTACTTCTCAAAGATATAGGGGTGACACTCGAAGAGGACATCCAAGTGGTATTTGTTTACGGAAAATCGCGATATTTTGAAATTAAGATGTGATTTTTTACGATTTTTTGGCGATAAAATCGCTAGGATCATCAACATCTGAGCGATTATCCTCGATATTGTCGCAATTTTTATTTCTATAAAACCGCGGAAGGTAAAATCC